ATTAGGATTAGGATTAGGATTAGGATTAGGGTTAGGTTTAGGGTTAGGTTAAGGGTTAGGGTTAGGTTTAGGGTTAGGTTTCATTTATTATTATAAATGAAATAAAGGTTAAGGGTTAGGATTAGGGTTAGGTTAAGGGTTAGGTTTAGGGTTAGCTTTAGGGTTAGGTTTAGGGTTAGGGTTAGGTTTAGGGTTAGGGTAAGGGTTAAGGTTAGGGTTAGGTTAAGGGTTAGGTTTAGGGTTAGGTTTAGGATTAGGTTTAGGGGGGTTAAGTTTAGGGGGGTTAGGTTTAGGTTTAGGGGTTAATTTTAGGTTTAGCATTTACAGCGTGCTTCTGTCTCCGCGCTGTTGTCGCCCTGTGATGACGTCAGCTACGCGGTTTCGTCGAGTGCACTTTAGTCGAACGCAGTTTTGTGGTGGAACCGCACACGTGCACTCACAGTTGTGAACCAGTGGTAAACCCAAGTAAATCCCACTGCTGATTATATTCATTTGATACTTACACATAGTCCACATGTTGTAAGCCGCCCTGAGTCCCCTCAGGGAAAAGGGCGGCATATAAATGTTCAATAAAATCTAAAATCTAAATAAATCCTTTACTTATGACTGATCACTTAACAACCATTCAAAGTTAGGATGGATTCCCCCAAAATGTACTTAGGACCCAGTTCTGAAGTTCCAATGGCCCTTCCTGCCCTGCAGTCACATGACTGCATTTCAGCCACTCATAAATTGACCCGACTTTATGGCTGTTTGCTGCATCCTGCAGTCCCATAATCATTTTCTTCTGGATTTTGGCAAAAACACCTTTTTTTTTTTGGAGTAAAAATCTATCTAAAGATAGTTTTCTATTTAAGATTAATAATTAATACATTAATAATTTAGGAGCTACAGTTTATTCAGCATGAAATGAAGCTTAGTTATGTAGTATGGGGACATAGTGGCTCAGTGGCTAAGATGCTGAGCTTGTCGATCAGAAAGGTCGGCAGTTCGGCGATTCGAAACCCTAGCACTGCGTAATGGAGTGAGCTCCTGTTACTATCCCAGCTTCTGCCAACCTAGCAGTTCGAAAGCATGCAAAAATGCAAGTAGAAAAATTGGGACCACCTTTGGTGGGAAGGTAACAGTGTTCTGTGCGTCTTTGGTGTTTAGTCATGCTGGCCACATGACCACGGAGACGTCTTTGGACAGCGCTGGCTCTTTGGCTTTGAAACGGAGATGAGCACCGCCCCCTAGAGTCAGGAATGACTAGCACATATGTGCGAGGGCAACTTTTACCTTTAACTATGTAGCATGAGGCTGTATATTGGGGCTGTCAGTGAGTCAACAGCAGGTCAGAGAAGGAGCCGCCGTAGGACAGAGATGACAGCTGCTCTTCAAAAACTGTGATTTAAATCAAGTTGATTTAAATCAAGCCTTTTTACTAGTGACTTAAATCATGATTTAAATTACATCGATTTAAATCAAATCCTCCCTGGTACATTCTCACCTGTAAGATGCCTGAACATTTGGAGTTTCTTCTCTCATCTGCTGGTGAATGACTGCAAATAAAATGACTTGATTTGCACCAGCCTGAATTTGAGCCTTGGTTGAAGATTCTTTCTGTCCTGATTTCCTCCTTCAGTTTTTCCCGTACATCCTTCTGCTCCTCGCCATCTTGCTGTACCTGCCGTGGCTCTTTTGGCGCTTCACCGCAGCGCCCCACCTTTCTTCAGATCTGAAATTTATCTTGGAAGAACTTGACAAGGCTTATAACCGAGCCATCAAAGCGGCCAACAGTTGCCGGAACTGCGATGCCAGAGACGCAGCCAGCTCCCCGCCTGCCATCGAAAATATTGCACAGAGGTAAGTAACATCTCTATCTGCTGTTCCCATTTCCCCTTTTCTTCCCATTTCCCTTCACCCACCGTGTTCTCCTCTGCTGGAGGTCAGGTTTATCATCACACAGACTGCTTAGACTTGTGCTTCAAGGAGGGTGGAGGAGCTGAGCAGGTCTTGCAATAGCCTGACAAGGGAAGTACGATTTTTTTGGAAGAAACGCATAAAAGTGGCGTCATCTAGAACAGGTCTCCAACCTTGGCAACTTTAAGACCTGTGGACTTCAACTCCCAGAATTCCTGAGCGGTGGCTCAGTGGCTAAGACGCTGAGCTTGTCAATCAGAAAGGTCAGCGGTTCGAATCCCTAGCTCCACATAATGGAGTGAGCTCCTGTTACTTAGCCTAGCTTCTGCCAACCTAGCAGTTCGAAAGCATGTAAAAATGCAAGTAGAAAAATAGGGACCACCTTTGGTGGGAAGGTAACAGCGCTCCGTGCACCTTTGGCGTTTAGTCATGCCGGCCACATGACCACAGAGACATCTTCGGACAGCGCTGGCTCTTTGGCTTTGAAACAAGGATGAGCACTGCCCCCTAGAGTCAGGAATGACTAGCACATATGTGCAAGGGAATGTTTACCTAGAGTCGTTTTGAGAGTTGACACGTCTTACTTTAGATATGAAATAGAAAGCTTAGAACAGTGATGCTCAACCTTGGCAAGTTTTTAGGTGGGTGGACCTCAACATGGCTGAAGTCCATCCATCTTAAGCTGGCCAAGGAATGAGAAGAGTTGCTGCCTCAGTGTGATTCCTGTGCATTTACTTCAGTTAATTCCCTAATGGCCCATGGCTGTTCATTGTGCATTTGATAAATATTCATGTTCAATCTTCCCTTTCAAAACACCCCCTCCCTATTCATTTGGAGGATGTCCACAGGTGAGAATAAGAAGGAGTGATTAATGTTCTGTCACCTAATCAAATTAAATCCAAGGCAGCTGACGGCAGAATAACTATTTATGAGTAGGCCTCATCATAAGCGCCTTCTTATAAAAGTGTAAGGCATCATAAATGGGTTGGAATTTCTGATGGCATGAAATTGTGGCGGGCGTGCCATGGCAGATTCACAGGAATGAAACATACCGGTATTTGTTTCAGTTAAACTGATGTCGCTGTGTCTTTTAATTTGAAACCAGTCCTGTACTATACGGGTAGTCCTCGACTTACGACCACAATTGTGGCGTCCACAAAGTGAATCTGGCTTCCCCCCACTGACTTTGCCAGAAGGCCGCATAAAGTGACCTTGGGGCACTGCAGCCGTCATAAATACATGCCAGTTGCCAAGCGCCTGAATTTTGATCATGTGACTATGCGGATGGTACAATAGTCGGAGATGTGAAAAATGGTTGTGTCACTTTTATCAGTGCCGATGTACCGTATTTTTCGGAGTATAAGACTCACCTTTTTTCCTCAAAAAAGAGGCTGAAAATCTGGGTGCGTCTTATACACTGAATACAGCATTTTTTGCCTCCCGAAACCCTGCCCCCTTCACCAAAATGGCCGTGCAGAGCCTTTAGGAGGCTTTCAGAGAGCTCCAAGGGGCTGGGGAGGGCAGAAATGAGCAAAAAATGGCCCGTTTTTTGCTCAATTTTACCCC